AGCACAGGTAGTCCTTACACTGCTATATGGGTCAACTGACCTCACTCTGACCTGTCCGGCGACATGTGGTAAGTGGTACATTAGCAGCTACCAGGCACATTTATCTAAGCGTGGTGACATGAAACAAGGGCATTGCCACACGCTGCTGACTAGAGAAGTTGTGGGGTTCAAGATGTTTGGTTCACACTCAGGATGGAATGGAGAAAGGAAACTCACAATGTGCTCTCTATATACATGTTGTAATGGATGTACAATGCAGCTTGGTGCTGGGAAGGCAGCATGGTTACAAGCGTGATGTAGAGAGAGCTGGTTGGTGAGGATGCTCAGAGAAGGACACCTTGTGGGTCGCCATGCTCGCCGGCGGGAGCGAGGACCGCCAGGCAGGAGGAGGAGGAGGTGGTGTTGCTGGCTGGTTGGTGGAGGTAGAAAGAGACAGGTCACCGAGGTCAGGTCTTAAATAGCTGGGGGTAGGCGTGGCTTAGTAGTTGACCCCCTGCCCGTGATGTATGGCGCTGGTTGACCTAGACCACGAGGCATACACTGGGGAATTGGTGGGGTCGGCTACTCAGCGACAAACAGCGTTTAGGGGGAGAAATCCACTACAAAGTAATGTTTATAAATAGAGTACATACATGGTATACATACAACATATATAGAGAGCGACGGGGAGAAGGAGAGATAAATAGCTCACAAAACACAGGGGGGATGTTAAGGTAAAGAGGGTAGGGGTTTTGAAAGGCATGGCAGCCATTTGCATTCTGTCATCGCTGTTTTTGAGCCCATGTTCCGTCCAGGTGTACTGTAGGTGTTCACTTGTGCCTCATACGGCTTCACTGTCGCCTCGGGGAGATTTGTTGTAGGTAATGAGGTTCAATATGTAAAGGGAGAAAAAAAATAGGACAATATTGGCTTGGAGCAAAAATAGTGTAAAGTTAATTAGGTTTTTGGGTCAGGTGAACTTGTGTGTGAAATTTAGGTTCGTAAACTGAATAATCTAATATAGGAGGGGCGGTGACGAGCCAAGGAGGGAGGGACGGTCGGTATTGTTGGTGTAGGAGGGAGGTATTGTTGATCTAGAAGGAGAGTATTGTTGATCTAGGAAGGGAGGGTATTGTTGTTCTAGGAAGGAGGCCTGCCTTGGGAGGCCTCCAGCGCCGCCGTCTCTGGGAGGGTTTTTGAGGACATCGCCGCCCCTGGGTGGGTCCATGGACACGGCCGCCCCTGGAAGGTCCCTGGGGTGCTGTCGCCCTGAGTGTCCCTGGATGGTCCCTGGTGACGTCGCCGACCCTGAGAGTCCCTGGGGCGCTGCAGCCCTGAGAGGGTCTCTGAGGTCGTTGCTGCCCCGTGAAAATCCTCTGAGGCACCGCTGTCCCTGAGGAACCCTAGAGGAGCCACTGCTCCTGGTAGGGTCCCTGGGGCACCGCAGTCTGGGAGGGGCTTAGGGGCGTCGCCGCCCCTGGGGGCACTGCTGTCTCTGAGTGGACCCCAGCAGAGGCGACGCCCCAGAGCCTCCCAGGGCACCCTGAGCCTCCCAGGGACAGCGCTGCCTGGGGCCTGCTAAGGGTCCTACCAGGAGTGGCGTCGCCAGAGTCCCTCCCAGGACCTTCCCGGGCAGCTTCTAGGAACCCTACCAGGAGCGCCCCTGGGAAGGCCTATAGCTTGCTTGGTTGTGGTGTAAATATTGCATAATTATGTCAAACAATTCCTTACTTAACTGTGATTGGTGGACTAAAATGTAAACCCACTAAATTACAGCCAATTGGAGAACGAGCAGTCAGTCAGCAACTTAAGTTTTCCTGTTGGATTTTATTCTCCATTACATTGTTCAGGATGAGATTATACTGGAAAAGTGATGGGCAGTGCATTTATTTAACCTTGTGGTAGTAAGAACTTACCAGAATGTTACCACGGTTATCACTTTGTTACTTATTTATTTATTTTTTGTTTTACATTTATTTTATAAGTATATGCATATTTTACAATGGTGTTGATATACATAGATATGATAAAGGAGCGAAGCAGTACAACATGGTTGGAACAAGAGGACAGACCTGTCAGTATAAATTATCTACTTGGCAAATATAATTATTGCAATGGTAATTTCTATTTATCTACATGACAATCTATGATATTTAGAGCAATTATTTTACTTTAGTTTACCTTTTTTATCCTATTAGTCCAATATGTAAACCAATAAAAAATACACTTTAATAAAGAAAACGGTCCTATTACCATAAAACCAAACCGAATGTTATATAAGGTAAGTAAATGAGTAGATGTTATAACTGCTGAATATAATGTAATATTTCCTAATATACTATCTTAAGTACACTTCATCATTAACTACAACTACTTCAGTGAGGGCATTATCTTACAAACTTCAAGTACAAGTTATCACACAGTAACGTCAACCTTGTGCGCCATCATCACAATCCAACTTGTGATTATCTTGTTTCAACCCGATCATAATGGACTCACCTGAAGATTAGCCCCCCTGGCGTATTTCATCAGATAAGTAGACCCTAACACTACTTAGGGGGTTAGGTTAGGATAAGTTACATTATACTAGGTTAATATTAATTAGGTTAGGGTAAGATTGTGTTAGGTTAATTAAATTAGATTAAATAAGTTAGATTGTGTTAGGTTAGGATAGATCTTGTGATTCTGTCTACCCACCAGCCACAAATAACTGCTAAGGCTTTACTTCGTGTAATTGACGTTATTTTTAGATATACACAATTTCTACAATTTAAACTACAGAAATACACCCCACAAAGATGAAAATTAAGGGTATACCCCTTCGACTGGAGTAACTAAGTATTCGCCTATTCATACTGACAGATGAACCTGTAAGCATTGGTACAGGGGTAGTTGGCAAATGGATAAGCATTGGCGCGGTGTATGTAAGCACAGTCACCGTCGGGACGAGCATCAGGCAGAGTCGGGTGCCACAGAGAGGAATCTATCTCTGCGTCACTCTTTATCCAGCGCCAAGTTTGATCTGCCCTCTTCTTACCTCCGACCCACACATGAGGATCTGAGGAGTAAGGAGACACTGGAGATCAAACTTCTCTTACATATATACACGATAATTTATATATACGAGGCTGTAGGATTACCTCAATATTTTATATTCTTGTACAGTATTTACCTAAATAAATTTATAAACGTATTGGGCTTTTACCCATTATATACAAATTTATGATTTTCTTCCAACCATATCACAAAGAAAATATAATTTGTGAACATAGGAGAGAACAGGAAATGTTTCAGAAGCAGGTGACTTACACAGAGCAACACAATACTTACTGGCAACATCAGTGGAGACAACATCTTGCTCGACAACGTAGGTGTACAAGACGTAGGCATTAATTGGCACGACCAGGTCACCTCCCAGGCCCTGGCAGTGGCCGCGAGCCTCACGCCATGACCTCAACACCCGGCTCAGGTACAAACAGTCCTCGCGCACCGACTTGAATGGGTATGGACACACCTTTTCTGCGGGCGCATCACTTTTAGTTTAGTTGAAAAAATAAATACAAATTTCAGAAATTTTATTATATATAAAAATGTGCCAAAGTAGAGCTTACCAAATACTGTAAATCCCGATTTTAAAGATATTTTGAAACATTTTATCAAAGTGAAGAAACTGAACTAAAAATTCTTGAAAAGATGCAGCGATTGAGTGGATAATGTCTTAGCTTATTAACCTAAGAGTCACTGGTTTGCGCCTGGCACACCCACAGTCCACCCAGCTGTGAATGGGTACCTAACTTTAGGCTTCAGGAAATGAAGGCGGTCTAGTACAGGGCTGGTTAAAATGAACCGTATTATTGTTGTATTCCTGATGGGACAGGGAGGTACTACCTCCTGGGAAGATATTGGAAGCATAATGTGTTGTCTAATGGTAGACCCTGTTGCCATATGGCATCACGAAAATTGTGACCAAGTCCCAGGTTGCTGATCTGACTTTCTGCCTCATTTACACACAATTACAGGGTCTCAATTGTTTTCACCATTGACAACACAACATACATTTGTTGTTTCTCACTCTTGATCTTTTTTTTTCATTTTGTATTTATTTATGGTTCTGTATTATTATTATTATTATTATTATTATTATTATTATTATTATTATTATTATTATTAATACATTTTCGCCTCCCAGGCTCCGATGTGGGTCAGTGACATGTGCCCGGGTGGGCTAATCCCGTAAAAAAATCCTGGCCATATTATTATTATTATTATTATTATTATTATTATTATTATTATTATTACCAGAGTAAAGAAGAGCAGCGCCATTACCTGTGGAGTTGGACACGGTGACGCTGTTACAGATCATCTGGTTCATGACGGTTCCTCCTTCAGAATTTCCAGTGGTCGGTTGAGCGAGGTAGTGCGCCGAGCCGGTATGGCAAACAAAAAAAAATGTTAAGACGATAGTTAACGTTGCACTTCCCATCTTGGACTCTAGAAGGGCGAAGGAAACAGCCGATTGCAACCACGGGTGTTGTGTGGACGGCTTTTAAAGGACCTGCCAGTACAATGTCACATGACCATCGTCGTCACTGTGATAGTGACGTCACCCTATAAATAACACGATGTACGATGATTTTATCATGCGTCTTCTCTTTTTTCTCTATTAGTATATCGAATAGTTAGTTATACGGACAGTTATATACTTATGGTACTGTATAATGGTCATGTAGTGGATAATCTCCCCTACAACTGCCACTGCCGTTTGTGAATGACCAGCCGATCCCTTTTCGCGTTTCCCAGCCAAGGCCTCGTGGTCTGACAGAGGGGTTGGCTATCAGCGACGGACCTATATAAGTTTCAACCTCGCCGTGAAATAATTCACATCGCAAAAACAAATCCCTACCCCATTATTGTCAATAACCAACAAATGCCATATGCTGTCAACGGAAAAATATTAGGACTCAAGATAACCAGAAACGGAATAATCCCCCACATCAATGAAAGAATAGTAATTGCAAAATCACAACTTACAAGGCTCAGAAGATTTCGCCAATTAAATACCAACACGCAATTGCACCTATATAAAGCACTGATCAGACCACACTTAGAATACCCTCCGATACCTCAGAATACAATCGCAAGAATAAACAAACTTAAATTTCAAGCAGTGCAAAATATAGCCCACAGAAGAGCGACAAAACACCAACCTCCACACACAAACAGGACAAGACATACACACAGAACACGGCATAGACCCACTCAACACCAGAATACACACCCAAGCAAATGTAATATGGGAAAAAATCCAACAAGAACAGGATCCCATACTAAACCGATTAAATGAGGAAAACAACAACACATCGCACAGATGGTGGCCTAGAAGCATAAAAAATGATAACGAAGAACCAGAGCCTCTATATACACAATAAAAAAGAAGCAAAAGATGGGCACAACTCTCCAGTCACACAAGGACCTGGAGGGACCCCCACCCCTAACATAATATGCCCCAAGGAAACATCAAACATCAAATAGAACAACTTAGTTTAGCTTAGCTGAGACCAGCCTTCCCTAACCGCAGAGTCCTCTAATGCAGCACTGTTGACGGAAGACAAAAACCTCGTCTCCGCAAGGTAGATAGCCCACCTGCCGTTAACCTCCTCCTATATTTCCCACTTCTGAACTTTACCTTGTACTGTACCCTTCTTGCACCCTCAGAGCTAATGCTCTTCTCAGTATCACCGACCGACCCGAAATCCCTTCAACCTACAGCCCCGCAACACCTCCTCTCAGCAAGCTCCTCACCACACAGCAACTCCCTAGCACCGCACCGTACTTACAATATATTTATATACAGAAAACCAGCTTATAGAGTTTCCTTTCTCCAATCCATCTTGAGTGTGAGACATTATAACGTATACACAACAGTCATACCACCTAACAACATCCGTTTTCTGTTACTGAAATCAGTCACAGACTATTGTATATTGGTAGAGTGAGGGATGGATGGACGGGTAGTTAAATGGAGACATACATAGACAGGGATAGATGATAAAAGATAGATGGTGAAAGAAAGACTATTATGGAAACTTATTTCTACTGGGACTCTTGAAAAAAAAAATCTTTCCAGCCAATGTTGATTAATAATTACAGTACTTGTATGTGATTATTCAAGCCATAATATCTCATCCTACGTCTTCCAGTCGATTGCCTGGCCGTCAGTTGTTAGGGTCATTAGTCTTGTTTAACTACGCGTTCATTCAGAAGTCCAACCAGTTTCTATTTAAATTCGAAATTATATATGAATACCATTTATATGTAATAATCAAGACTTCATAATCTATCATACATCTAAGACAATTAATTATCAAAATTTCAACAAATCGACGACAGATACTTAATCAGCAAGTCAAGGAAGACATATAATGAGATTTTCAGCAAAATAATTTTTTGTTATCCCCAAAAATAATCAAGGGGATTAGCCTTGTACATTTTGGGGTAAAAAAAATAACATTTGCTCAAAATCCTAGGATAGGTCGTCCTCGTCATGCAGATTAAGAATTTGTGGTCGTAATGTTGATATTTTGATAATTTATTCTAATTATTACATGTCCTTAAATATACCGGAATCAATATAAAAGAAAAGTGTTTGAAAATTGATTAAACAATCGGAAAACACATTGCTCAACTACTAGGGGTGTTGTCCAAAACTGCAGTTTTACCAAAACTCTCTTAAAAAAATCATAATTACTTAGCTACTGACGGTCACCAGCCGTATATTTGCCTTTGCTGCTCTATAAAATTTAGAAAATTAATTACTAGAATTAAAATAAGCACATACCTGCATCTGCTGTTTCCCATACACAGGTAACGACGTACTGTAGTTGTGTATAAATTATAACTGGCAAAGGTGACAGCTTCGCTACCAGGTAAATTTGTTTGTTTACTAATATTCTGGTTTCTGAGCGTGGGCAGTTCCTTTACCTTTATCGCATTTTACCCTCTATTAATAAGGCTAAAAACGTGATTTAATAGCCTATATATTATGCTAGACTATTTATAATAATCTAGAATTTATTTAACCTAGTCATGCTGTCATATATAAATATATATACAGCTGTGTTAAAAACGTTTATGCATTTGATTTTTTTTTTAGATTGCCCCCGAGGGGGCTAGTTTATTGGGCACCCTCTTACATCCTGTGCAAGATGAAGCGCAAATGCGTTTACAGCGCCCATCTGGGAAGCATGCTGAGTTCATGCTTGCCTTTATGACTCATGCATTAAGGGCGTAAAAGCCTGAAGGGTCATGGGTTTTGTCAGCAAGTTACATAAAGTGACAGAATGATGAGTGTGTGGGGGGAAATTTCCCGGTACAATTTATCTGTTTATGGTAAAGCGTGGCAGGTCCCTAATACATCTTTCTTTATCTATCCTCGACCTTGGGCTCGAACCCAGGAGGTACTGTAGAGTGGCCTGCACACTCTCGGCTACAGTGGGCCTATACCAGTTAAAATGTAATTTTAGGAATAATACGATGCTGAATTATGTCTAACAACCTCAAAAATTATTAAATTGGTCTTGACAATCGTTTCAGAATCATTAATAGAACAATCAGCTGTTAGTGCACAAATCCTTGATATAATTCCAACAAATATTGTTTTATCTAAAACCCTCAGCCATGACACATTCTTATCTTATCCTCTTCGAGCTTTACAGTAAGGGAAGTGGAAGGCAGTAGAGAGAAGTACTGTCTATATTGTCTACAATGGCCAGAGTCTAGACAAGCATGAATAACTGTACCAGGACTGCACTCTAGCGAAGTGACAAGTTTGCCAACTCAAATTATGTGAAAATGAATTTGCCAATTTTATAACTTTGAACATCAGACGTCCCAAACACATCATATCCAGGCTCAACCCTCACATTAGTTTTAGTATTGTTCTGTGTATCTGTATTTGGAATGTGAACCCTTATTTTACATTGCAAAAAGCTAGCTTTATGCTACCTTATAGTAACAGCTGAAAGACATTTGTATTCTAAAAATATCACAAGGCTTTTTTTGTTTCTGTTCTACAATATATAGTAAAGTACTTTTCTCTGTTTTTTTATTTCAAACATGAATGCCTTTATATCGGTGTTGTTTGTAAAAATTCTTCTCAAAGTAAAATATAGTCCTACATTTCTGCTTGCTCATTCAATCCTGTGGAATTCGTTGTTGACTTTTGTTGTCTGGATACAGCTGAGGCCGATCGCTGATTATTTTCCAGCTGAAGTGGCCGACTGGTATAAAAATGGTTGCGGATCTCTGGTTTACATGAAGACCGGGACATTTAACCATGAGTGGGCGTCACCATCACCCGTGTACCTTGACGTTCTTAATGTGTACACATGCACACACACATACATACTGATACACACACTTACAATATCACACAGTAAATTCTATATGATCAATGATATATAGCGACGTGAATATGTTAAGCACAAGCTCACTCCGCTGGTTACCATGGAAACATAGACAAGCTACCCTCACGCGCCCCGGGCTTTTAGTTACCTGCGTTGCCAACAGATTACGTTGATCGGAGCTCAGTGGCTCACGTTTGCTTTATCGGTAAATGTAGACGCTTTCCCGTCTTTCTTATTATAGTCCTTGGAATAAAACAGCAAAATTTTGAAAATACATCTTTTTTTTATTCGTTACCCATGTAATACTAAATCGTTCTTTATGATGTTGCACCCTCCATAGGTGGCGCGTTTTAAGGGGATATCCTGGGTTATGCCTTGCACACCCTAAATTAACTCTGCTATGAAGTAGTTCTTGAATTTAAAGAAGGAAAAATGATGGCAATCAGTGTCGGTCTCTTAGTATACTGAGATCGGTGTTTAGCGAGGTGGGTCATCACACCTGAAGGAGCCAAAGATACTCTCAATATAAGAAATAGTCCTTCAATAACAAAACAATTAAAACAAATCTCATTACTGCTAATTAACTTCTACGGACAGACACAAGAAGCTGCTCATGCCAAGAGTGTTACTGTCACCTGGGTACAATCTCATAATCAGATCTGGATTTATTGACCCAGCGCTGTCAGAGGAAGACAATGTTCGTCTTAAAAATTGTTTCCTGACTTTTATCAGATAAAGACAAACAACATGTTGTATTAAAAAAATCATTATTTTAAAATGTCTTAAATATTAATTATTTACAAATTATAACATGCTAATTACTCTAGTTCTTAGATTTTTGTTAATTGTGGTAATTATTGTGGTAATGAATAATCAGCAATTTACAATACCCGCACAACTTAACATTTTATACAGCAAAATATTATATTCACTGGAAACAGCTTAACATGCTACTGTATCTAACACTTAAATTGTCGTTGATCTAAGAAAGTTCAGCTACCAGGGCTAATTTCATTATTTGATCTCTGCTAATCGTAATTTTAAACCTTTTTGTATTTCAACTTTATAATAACAAACATACAATTGTATTTCAGGGAATCTAATGATTGTATCCTACTGTATTCCTCAATGTTTACAGAACGTCTCTGTTATGGTTCAGGATCTCTTGCTCTCATCTTCACTGCACATGTTAACACCAAGAATCTCGGCCGACTTATCTATATTAGGACATTTCTTACACACTGAGGTATGTACAGTACCTCTCTGCCATATGACACTATCGAAATCTCCCAGTCAGTATTCCTCCCAAGGCTCTAGACACACCGGCTTACACCTGACACTTTCTTCAAGGGTTTGGGAGTATGACTGTATCTTGTTGGGTTAAAAAGGTTCTTTGGTTTGGTCTCAGTTTACCTGAATTCTTCCCAAGTTTGTCGTTAGTTGTCTAATATAATTAACCTTGTATTCAGGTGCAACTCGAGTTCCTCCTCCTTAGAAGCTGGTCATTTGTTGATACAGTTTGTTAATTACTTAATCTTGTGTTCACTTTGTAAGGTTATAAGTAGTTGACACAGATCTAGAAAAGGGCGTGGAAGCCTCCGAAGACCCTGAACTAGAGACTGAGCCTATAGACTAGGCTCGAATTCCACTGTTTATGTGATGCGTTGAGGCAGATGTATGCCGAGTTCTCTTAAGCCTCCCAAACAGGGTTCCAGGTTAGGATCTCTATCTCTAAACATGTGATATTGTGATGTAGTTCCACACATCACCGTCCGAACAACAGTCATAAGAGCTCACAAGTTCCTAAAGCTTTTGAATCTAAGTTGAGTTTCAGATTTTTCAGGCCTCTGAGGAGTAGAGGCCCTCATCATGGGAAGTGTCCAGGGGGTGGTGTTCGGGGGTGGTGCTGCCGGTCTGTTGGGAGAAGCCTGAGGTGAGGGCTGCTGCTAGCTTCTGCCTGGCTATGTCTGCCTCCTTCTGCGTCTGCATCAACCGGGCGTTGTAGTAACTGGTCTCCTCCTCCACCGCCCGTAGCGACTTCTCCAGGGCCTTCCATTCTCGCGTCTCTCTATAACAACATACAGGAGGGTCAGCGGTCAAGGATTCACGGTACAACAATAACATAAGGAGACAGGATAACAGTATATAAGAACTTGATGTATAAATCAGTTTATGAGTAAACACAGTTGTAAAAGAAGATTGATACAATTATAACAAACTGTGTAAGTAAATTGTCCTCGTGTGATACCAAATAGTACCAGAATCACACCAATGTCTATTGTAGAAGGTAGTGTAGAAATGAAATCATCAACCACCACCAATACTACCCCCACCACTACCGTTACTACCACCACAACCACCATCACCACCACTACTACCATTACTACAGCCACTACTACCCCCATCAACACCACTACTACTACTACCACAACTATAATCCCCCCCCCCCCACCACCACCATTGTAGCTTACTTAATAGACCTGACGGAGGAGTTGTCGATCTGAGCCATACTGGCCTGGAGGTTCCATGCCCTTTCCTCCAACAGTGAGAGTCGCTCCTGGATCCTGGCAGCTGCTACCTCCCTGCTCAACAGTCGACGCTTGGCCAAGAATGCATTGCTGATATTGGCCAGCACCGACTGTTCCGCCTCCTGCAGCAGCCGAGACGAGGGAGAGAGAAGAGTATTAGGAGTGTGGTGACCGTCAGTGATGTATTTCTTCAGGAGGATTTTCTTAGTGAGGCAGATGAAGATGTTTGGGGAGGTGTATGAAAGCAGTTATAAGAAAAAGTAATATTCTGATTTTATACAGTTATTTATACAAAGAAAAACAAACCCTCCAACAGAGATAGTGAACTCTCCATAAAGCGGAATTTTCTCCAAACATTCCGTTACATAGGGGTTTCATAACGAACACTTGATATAAAGAACTTTCCTCTCCAAGTAGTCCGTAAAATAGAGGTTTCATTGTATATACATTTAAACAAGCAAGAGAGACAGACAGACAGACGAGAATCTGAATATAATCTTTTTTTATATATACTGTATGTGTGTGTGGAGGGAGGAGGGGGGTGGAAGGATTAAGAAAAAGGTTACGAAATCCTAATAATTTTCCATAAATATAATCTTTACAGTCATTGTCAAATCATTTCTTAAATTTGTCTTATTAATCACACGAAAGAATATTGCTAAAAGACCCACTACGAAGACTGAGAAGCTCTAGGGCAGGGGTTCTTAACATGGGGTCCATGGATGGGCTTCAGGGGGTCCGTGAAGGTCAGATAAAAATTTGTTATTTATCTTCAAGCCAAACAACAACCACCTTCTCATTGAAATGAACTTTTGAGCAGAATTAAAGTTTTGTTTTGTTTAATTTGCACAGGATGATTGTATTTCATTTTTGTATGGAGTGGCCATTAATGTTTGCATAAAAAAGTGTGAAACATAATTCTTTGTTAAGATTGTTTACTTTATTCATACTTTGTGTATGTCATACACTGTATGAGGCAATGAATTTTCAATAAAATAAAGAATATTCATTACATGCAAAGTTGTGTTTATGTGCTTATGTGCATTTTTCTAGGGAGGTCCATAGCTTTCACCAGATTCCCAAAGGGGTCCGTGACTCAAAAAAGGTTAAGAATCACTGCTCTAGGGAATGACAAAGCACATTAAGAACAACACAACATGCAATAATAATCAATAATACATGAACATTGAGCCAGTTGTTAAAGGCAATATTGTCAGGCCTTAAAATTTATACAGGTTACATGCGTCCAAGGTAGAGACAGGTGAAAGCAGAGATAATAAAAATGATAAATATAAAAATGCCAGAAACACAGACGAGTTACTTCACACACACACCAAAAAATAGTTCATCACTGGATGCATTTAAACTGTGTATGTAAATAAGAGACATCCCTCATGCACTTAAAACATTCACAAGTCAAGTCAGTACAAGCGGGCACTACCTTAAACTCATCTCAAAGTACATTATAGTTCACTTGATGTTTGTGATGGTATAAGTCAAAGTCAGACGAGAAGGAAGTGGAGGAGGAGGAGAAAGAAACATGAGAATCAGTAAAGCGAAAGAATGAGACAAAAAAATACATCAAATCAGTTAAAAATAATGCAAGATAAGTCAGTTAACAGGAAGCAAGACATTCATTCAGTCAAGGCAACAACAAGAGACTCAGGTAGGAGAGAGTAACACAACATTTCATACAGAGAAAACAGATCAAAGCTTAAGCTGATGAAAATAGAAATTGAAAAGAAAGTGAGAGAGAGAGAGAGAGAGAGAGCACAAACTACCACCTTCACCGCTGGTTGGTCCTTGGTCGACACAGTTCCGTTGTCTTTCCAACACTGGCAGGAAGGTGAGTCCTGTGAAGCGCAAGACCAGCAGGTAATTAAAAGTGTTCAGGTGGTGGGGACAAGACCAGCGTGCGGGAGGAGGGCGTCGCTACACAGGCTAATGAAAGTAAACAGGAAGATACACCCCTCATACACACTGTACAAACACACTCATAAACATTACAAGTATTAACATTCATATAAATTACTCTCCACATACACCCATATACATCACTGCCCAGATACATTCCTATAAATTACTACATATATACATTTATGTTAATTACAAGCCACTACACCCACATAAGCTATTGTTTAATACATACATACACATTAGCTACAAGTAAATTGGCCTATATAAATTAAATTCCAGATACACCAGCTTAAATTTCTGTTAAAAATCATTCATATAAATTGGCAACAAGATACACACATTTAGATAACTGTACAACAGAAGCTAATTATTCTATTTGCATTATAAGGCAATAGCTAGTGTATGTGTGTGTGTGTGTGTGTGTTCATTATATATCAAAACCACAAATCTATACCAGAAATTAGACAAACTACAATGATCATTACACATAAAACTAACACAGTAATCAAAACCACAGTTGTTATATGTACAAAACTGATCATTATGAAACGAAGGTGTAATGTCACCTCAGATGAACCAGGTGTTGCTACACAAACATTGACACTTTACCTGGGCGATGTAAGGTCCTCGCCAACATATGACGACATCACCGCTGCTGAGTGAGGAAGATGGATGGGAAGAATCAGTTGAAAATGACTGAGTTAGAGTCATCCTCTCAGCCACTGAACTAATACCTGATGGACGAGAGTTCATCAACCGACTTGTGAGAATCCTCGGTTCAGGAGAGGATTCTGGAGTATACGGCTCCTGTAGGATGTTTGATGTCTTCCTGAACGGGGACTTGATGGGGGACGATGGTTCCTCGGTCGACTCCACAGACGAGGTGTGGAAGCAAAAAGGACTGTCAGTTCTATCTGTTTCAAAGTTCTTCCTCAGATCTCTGACTGGCGGAAGTCTAAGTGACTCCCGCTGTGACTGAGGCTCAGTCTTTAAGTCACTTTCGTCTCCTTGTAGTTCTTGACTGCTGTTTAAGTCGTCACTCGGCAATAATGACTTTCTCCCGCCCCTTCTCACAGTAGAGCGGCGAGACATGGCGCCTTCCAGTGAACGCTTCTTCTTCACAGTGCCTCGTGAAGACCTCTTGCGTGAGATGGGCGTCTTGGTAGTGAGTCTCCCACCCTTGTTCTCGCCACTCACTGAGCACAGTAACTCAAACTTCTCTCTCGTAGCTGCGACTGACCAGGTAACACTCGGGACTTCCTCGGCATCATCTTTCACAGGTGTGGCCGGGGTCTCGTTGTCGCTGGAGTCGTCCTCATACCATCGCTCTTTATCAGGAGTTAGGCGCTGCTTCTTTATACCACTGAGACTTGTAGGTCTAGCCATTTTGTTCGTCTTCTCAATTATTTCAATGGCTCGTGGTTGCGTGAGGTGATGCAGACGAGGAGATAAAGTTGGAGAAGGTGAAGCCCTGGACTCATTCATAGGTTGCGACACAGATACAATGAGACTTGTTTGGCTTCCTGATCCGCGGGTCAAGATTTTGTCTCGAGTAATACGATTCCCTGAAGGATTAGCTTGATCCCAGGAGCCAGTCTGTGGAATGATCTCACTGCCATACCTCTGCATTCCATGAGCAGCAGCAGCAGCAGCCGCGACACCCCCTTGACACTCAACTGATGTTCTCAGAGAAGACTCACTTGAACTCATGATCCGACTCGACTCATTGAGCTTTTTGGGGTAATTTTGGCGGTTTGAAGGATACCCAGGAAGTTTATTAACCATGAGGAAGTTATCAGTAGTATCCGTACCAGCATCACTTGGCTGTGGACTGAATTTTCCTTGACCAGAGAGCCGGCGAAGAGGTGGATGACTCTTTTTACCTTCGTCAGTCTTCCTCTGTGTACGTGTCTCCATTTTCTGTTGTTTATATTTGGCTTCAGCGTCGTCCTTCCTTCTTTCACCTTGAGAAAACTGTTGAATTTTCTTTTGTATTTCAGACTCTTTCTTCCTCTTTCCTTCTCTCTCCACCGTCTTCTCTTTATTGGTGTCTCTCTCTTCCTCTTTCTGTTTATCGGTTATTCCATTCAGGTTCTGGTCGGAGGAGAAGCTGTGTAAACTGTCGACAAGATCATTATCTTTCTTGACTGTGGTATCGAGGGCTGGGGTGATGTTTGTAGCTTCTTGGACCTTGGTAACTGATTTCTCCTCCATAGCAGCCCCTTCAGAGTAATCATTATCCACTACCTCCTCTTCCTTCTCTTTTTTGGATTCTTCCTTTTGGGAGTTCGTTCCTTCTTCTCTTTCTTCCTCTTGCTTTGGCTCTTCTTCCTCTTTTTCACTTTCTCTGTGAGGTGATGGGTAGAGGGTGAGGTTGTTGCGCTGGTCCTCCTGGGTGACTTTGATTACTTCGTCAGAGAGTGTGTGGATCCAACGCATCATCTCCTCCCGTGACGTTAACTGTGGAAGACCAACACTCTTACACACTAAACTCAAACCAAGAAAAAAAAAAGATGTTTAGCTGCATTTTTAATCATAACAAAGACACAGGTTTACGACACTATCACAACTTGGTAATTTTATACGGACGTTTAACTTGTGCTTAATGTTATGACTAAAATATTGATTGTAATAATTATCTGATGAAAGTTTAGTTATCGTCTGTGTTTGTGTGATGTCTTTTGTTTTATGAATAAATAATTACTAAGGATCACAGGTAACATACAGACGTCTTCAGCAATAATTATGTTTAGATTTCATACACAATATTTTTTTTCTTCAGATACTAAGACCAATACTGTTAAATGTCTAGTGTAGATAATCAAAACTTAGTTAACGGTACTGAATACTATCTGGCAGCTCTCTCTCTCTCTCTCTCTAAAGACATAAGCATAATTACTCCACCACTCACCTTAATCACCATCATAACACGGGTGGCGCGGTTGAGGGAGAGGGCGTGTTGGTGCACGCCTCCCAACACAGGGGTGACTGAGAGAGCCATCAAACTAATCTTGGAGGAAGGGGTGGAGGCGTGGGGAAGGAACGCCAGCACATGACCGTCCCTCACCTCCACACGTCGGGCACTAACCTTCCCGCCGATGCTACCGCTTATTTCAACCTGACCTGCGATGGATATGGGATATATAGTGACCAAAGGGAGATGATGGACATGGTGAGGTGATATATACAAAGAGATAGACATTGGATATGGTAAGATGGGGGGATTTGGTAGTGTTATATACTTAGTTGGATATGGGTAATATATCTCTCATTGATGTTAAGGGTTGGATATGAAGAAATGGTGACAAGGGAATTTAATGGAGGGAGAAGTTGTGCTGAATATAATGGGAAATTAATTCAAAATGGTTGTAAATGGGGGGAAATACAAGTTACATCTCTATCTACAAATTATGATTGAAAATATACTTAAAATTACCTGTAATATTATAGACGTGTTTTCCTAATAACATTTGATGCTGTGAAGGATCAAAGGAAGTTATAAGGTCAACCTGACGTTCACAAGTCTTCCTCTGATGTGATAAATTGTAATTAATATTTTGCTGGGCCATATTTTTTTTCTGATAAAATATAAAAGTTCTCTGGATGTAGATATTGGTATAGGAGTGTGTGTGTGTGTGTGTGTGTGTGTGTGTGTGTGTGTGTGTGTGTGTGTGTGTGTGTGTGTGTGTAAGAGGGTAACATGACAGTACTCACCATTGATGATAAGTGGAGCGGTTAGGTCTACTGTCGGCTGCCGCTTGAGGGCGGTAGGTGAAGTGTCTGAAGCCTTCCTCTTGCTGTTGGCGTCGTCCTTGGCTGGCAGCTGGGAATCGCTCTTCTTACTGGACGTTCCTGAGAAGATAGACGAGAAGATCCCCTTCTTCTTGGTCGGGGAAGACGAGTTGGAGAAGTCCGTCGTCTTCTTCTTGGTCGATGATGTGACTGTTGAAGAATCTGTTGACTTCTTCTTACTTGGTGATCCTGGTGTTGTTGTTTCTGTCAGTTTCTTGTCAGTCTTGCCTGGTGTCGTAGTTCCCGTTGATTCTTTTTTAGACTTATGAACTCCAACAGCTTTAAGCAATCCCTCTTTTCTTTTTTTATTACTGCTGGAGTCAGGTTTTTTCCTCGTGGTAGAAGTTGGGGAACCTTCGCCTGTATCTGTGACTGGAGACTCTGTGGTAGACAGGTCTAAGGATGGCGGCTCAATCGTATCTACGTCGAGGTTGAACTGTACCTTTTTAACACTTCCAGAACCAGAATTTACTGAACCTCTGTCTTTCTTCTTGATGATGGAGTTAACTCTCTTCACAGGCGTAGTCTCATCTGAAGGGAAATCGACATCGTTTTCCTCTTCGACATGACCATTTTCTTTGATGATATTTTCAGGGCTGACTAAAGGAGTATCTTGGCTCTCCTCCCTTTTGGTGTTTTTCTCATTCTCTTCACTCATCGGCGGCTCAGTTTGCAGTTCTTCTTGGGAATTGTTATTCATCTCATTATAAAGCAGTTCGAACTTGTCATCACTATCGCTTAATGTCTCATCACTAGCGGATTTCTGACCCGGATTATCCTTCCCCTTGTCATCTTGTTCCTGTATTTCGTCATATTTAGTTTCTTTGTCATTGTTCCCCACAACACTTTCTTCCTTGTCACTTCCATTCTCAGGTTCTTCGAAAGGTGTGGGAGAGTCACTGGAGGGAGAGTCAAGATGAGGGCTGTGAGCGTTCTTAAGATACGTTTCATGAGAGTCAATGTCTTGGGATACATCCCCTGTGTGGGTGGCCAGGGACAAACCTCTCTCAAGCTTCATCTTACTTAATAAATGTGTGTAATTGTCTTCGAAAGGTTCTTGTACTCGTTCTTCTTCTTCTTCTTCTTCTTTGTTTACTGTTTCATCGGGTGATCGATCTCTCTTTGGTAAACTAAGAGACTCGCTGTTCTCTTCACAATCTGTACGTTTAGCATTAACTTTTGATTCACTGTCCACGTTTTCATCCGAGTCACTGGTCACTTGGTCGAATCCTTCACCTTCTTCAGAGTTTTCACAATAAACTCTGTTCCTGGTCTCCACTAACACCTTCTCTTCGTCGCTTATCTCCTCCCCGAAGGCATCCAGGCAAGGACCATCCACAACCTCAATAGACTTTTTGGATTCTCGTTCTTCGCCAGGCAGTTCCTCCTCCTTGTCACCACTGAAAGACGACTGATGTTCCTCCGCTTCATCAAACTCAGACTGGGTTTGTGACTCAGTTGACGGTCTTCGGTCAGCGGGGCCAGCACGAGGGGGTTTAGGGAGGGGATTAACCTTACCATCTGAGTTCTGGTTGGCTACTAAGACATTAGAGGATGACGCTGAAGAATTGGAAGCCCCTGATGGTCCGCTACTGTTGCTGTAGGTGAGGTTCGTACTGTCTTTAACCGCTACGTCATCTCCTTCACTAACTGACAGGTTGACGTTTGAGGAGTAAAGAGGATTACTCACCACTCCTGTATTCAAGTCGTATATGGATTCATTTATCTCTTCCAGTTCATCGTCTTCTGTTTTATTCTTACTTAACGTAAGATCTTCATCGTCACTTTCCGAGACCTCCTTCCTCTCGTCACTTCCCAAAGACGTCCTTGTGTCACTCAAGTCTCGATTCTCTTCCAGAACCATTTTTTGCTCTTTTAACTCTCTCTTTCTCTCTTCCTCTTCTTCGTGTTCCTCCTCCTGATGTTTCCTCAAGTTCTTCAGGAGCATAATGGCGTCCAGACCAGTCACTGTCGCTCCAGAGGACGATAGAGCCTGAGGGAGAGTTTAAGTTACTACAAGACCCAGGTAACTAAGACACTCAGGTATGACACTCAGATACATTACAGGTATATAATAACGTTGTAGTTAAACCTGCACCTTTAATATTAGCAGTACCTGTATCTGTAACCATACATGTACACTTGTACTTGTATCTCTACCTGTTAAAGACCCTGTACTTTTACACCTGTACTTGAAACTGTACCTGTAAGTGTGTTGTTAATGTGTTTAAGAAGGATAAAGGGCAGAGAGAGAGAGAGAGAGTACAGCCACGGAAAGAGAGATGGTAGAGATAGGAGAAGAGACAGTGGAGACAAAGTGGATGAATCAATGAGAAAAATAAACGAACAATAACAAGATAATATGATAAATAAGATAGAAAAGGAGATAAGAGAAGAAACACACAGGAGAAGAGAGAGGGAAAGATGTTTCATTACGTCCACAGGTAAAGAAGGAGAGAGATAATTAATTCCCATGTGAGACGCGCCAACAAGTGTGTCGATATACTCGTAGTAGCAACAGGTGTTCCTTGGGTCGATAGCTGTGTGGTGATCAATACTTCCAACTATGGTTAGGTTAGATTAAGTTTATGTTATGGACGATTGTAAACAAAGACGTCCCAATGAAATCTCTTATATCCGAATATCATTGAAATTACTTAAGAATTAAAGTTTCAAGTCTAATTCACATTACATCTCCCCTCCCCTCCCTCCCCCCTGTCAATTTACTCCCCACTGCAACAGGAGTGATGGGCTTCTGATGGTCTCTCTCCCTACCGCCACCAGAGACGACAGTACAGTACTCATAAGGGTTCTTTATACTACTGTTTCTGCCACTACTACCGAACGAACACCACTGCTAATGCATCTAGGACAAGGGCGATGCTGTTTGTGGTCATAGTACCTTGCCAGACAGACAGACAGACAGACGTTACCTGGATCATCCTGGCCTGCTCGTAAGTGGTGTTAAAGGAGAAGGTGAGCTTGTAGGCGGGTGGGCGTGCGATGACCAGGATATGCCGCCCATCGTCTCTCGAGGAGTCGCTGCCCCGCCCAATATGCACGTCCGCCCCGCCCACCGCCCACCCACCCACACTGCCTCCATCACCCTGAAGAAAAGAGATAGTGAAAAGATGGTGTGTGTGTGTGTGTGTGTGTGTGTGTGTGTGTGTGTGTGTGTGTGTGTGTGTGTGTGTGTTTATCTGATCATGAAGTGACAGTGAAAATGACAACGTGTGACAGTGACGGGATGGCAGTGACCAGATGAAAGTGACACAAACTCCGCCAGTGTTGTATAAGAGCGAGACGGTATCCACACCTCGAGGCTTCAGTGAAATCTTAAGAGTGTTGACCTTGGCAGAGTCGTTGGAATGTTTGTCCTGGTTCTTGTATGTATACACTCATACATAGAGTATACACATTGGACTACAACTGTCTATTTCTGTATTTTGGTGAGTATACAGTATATGTACGATTATATGAACATATTCTGAAGAGGCATTTATACTTATCCCTGTGCTATCATATACTGTATATACTGATGTCTGTATACAACTTAATTTATGTATGTATATGTATTTGATTGTATGACACCCTAAACATACCTCTACATTCTGTTCTGTATACATAACATACACATCAGTTTATTGAAATTAGGAGTCAAATACATACAACCCCCTCCCCCCCCTCCCCAACCTCTAACTGTGGTAGGGGGTGAGGAGGCGCGGGTATGGTGGAGGATGGAAGGATTGTGTGGTTGTTCAGTGGTTGACAAAAGGATCTCAGAGCTTGTCCTACAGATCCGGTTTCTTCACTGGAGATAATAATGTCATAGAAATACACTTTTTAAGAGCTTTAAGATGTCGTAAGAATGTTGTATGTTTGTTTATGTATGTTTATGTATATTTTTGTTTTACATAAATACGTGTGAAATTATATGTTGGTATGACAGTATTAAATAAATGTTCGTATTCTCATTGAAAGGTTAATAGAGAACACACACACACACACACTTACCTTTGTCTTGTAGGCGTATAAGGTAGCACCATCTAGTACCAACACTCTCTTGGCCCAGGTACCTAATCGTTTCCTCTGCTCCACCTCCACAGACAGCTTGGCCCTCACCGCCACCACACTGTACTTCTCCAGACTGTAACAACATGAAGAGAAAGATGTTAGTCGATCTTATAATGGGTATTGGAGTGAATATATGTGTGATACTACGACTACTTCTGCTGCTACTATTACTATTACTACTAGTACTACTTAAATAACAGTACGATACCTAAAAAAACTCCTCAATGACGCACCATAGAAGAAAAAAATCACCGTTTGTTGTACAGTGAGATTTTCTTGATCAAATGAATTAAAATTAAAGCGTCAACATTCACACAGACACTCATGACCCTGAAGGATCCAAGGGCCAGAGGAAACAAAACGACTAAACAAACAAACGGACAGATTTAAACTATTGAGTTATCTGTTGTGGTGACGTCAGTGATAAGGATCTTCTATACTGAATGTTTTGTGGTGGAAAAATGGAACATAGTTTGAGTCTGATCTGCGTGTGTGTGTCGTAGGTCCCTGATCACACACACATGTCAACATGCTCGGTACAGTTGACAGTTGCAGTTTAGTGTTGCGGCAACCATGAGGCAAGCGACTTTTGCTATTGTCTGGTTATTTGCTACGTATCAGTACTATTAAAGGAACACGGAAGTCACTGTTTTGTGTGTGTGTGTGTGTGTGTGTGTGTGTGTGTGTCCTCCAGTTAAGGTCACTTATGAGCAACAATGGTCACTTGTTATGACCCACTGACCTGACGCCCGGGGCATCATAAAAAAAGCTGATGCCTTTATCTCTGTCTGTCATGTTATAATTTTTCTACAATTGAGTCAATAGGCGAGGTCAGAAATAAAAATGCAAATAGTTAACTAGCACACACACACACACACACACACACACACACACACACACACACACACACACACACAATGTAGTTCGTATTTATAAGGATATATTTCTCATTAGTAAATAACACCAAAAACTTACGTCAAGAGTTTTTTCGTCTTCATGTTGGTAGTTAGAAAAGACAACGAATAACCTTCACTTTCCCCTACTCCTCACTCTCCTACACAAAGATAGTTCGTGTCTGCTGAGAGGCGAAGCTTTCCTGTAACCTCACATTTTTTGTCAATTTTCACTATGACAAAAATATACAAAAATGTTCACATTTCACTTACTTTCTTGTAATCATTTTCCTATTAGTCTCATTTTCCATCATATTCTTCTTGACTTTCTAGTTTAACTCATCTTCAATTATATATACAGTATATACATCTGCTATGTATATATTTTCCATGTGTTAATTAACATACATACAGACTTAAGTTCACATTATAGTTAAACTTTGTTTTGTTTTCTTCTCAATTCATTCCTCAGGTTTGTGTATAAGTTACGTCTCTTGGTTAAATTCTCTGATTCTCTGTATTTTTTTAAAGAGAGAAATAAGATAATCACTTTCTTCAATGACAATTTTATATACGTTTTCTTTCATTTACAATGAAAATAACTTGCTGTTGTATGTTACAGATCAATAAAGTAAAAAGCATATATACTTTCTTGAAGAATTGTGTCATTACTTACAAACATCCACTACACGACCCGTATTATCCTTATGTCTTTATACACACCAACACGTGCACCCCGGATATAACGTCATCAGGTGCACAAGTGTCTCACCTTTCCCACCCACACCTGTTATACACCTGTTGTAATAGATATCGGTCTCTGTTTCCTCCTCCTCCACCCTTCCCACGAGACCTTGGAAGGGGAGTAATGATATCAGGTGTCACTAGCTGTATTAATGATGGTATTTGTAGAGTTACCTGTGTGATAGTTTGCAGAGAGAGAGAGAGAGAGAGAGAGAGAGAGAGAGAGAGAGAGATTCACACCGAAAAACACACAGGCAGACAGAGAATCACAATACGACAGACAAAGGAAACAGACACAGACACACACACAGACACACACACACACACACACACAGTCAAACAAAGTGACACCATTACGCATCACAGGAAAAGGAGTGTTGAAGCTCCTCTTTACAATTAACTAAAACAGATGTGTGACAATATCCACTTCATCTCTTCACGTAAAAACACAAAAAAAAACCAGTTCGTCATCCTCTCGGTCTTCCCGCTTCCTCCAAATCTGATAGTAAAGGAACATCAAACGTTTAGATCTACAGACGAGAGAAAACGTCTTCTTTTTTAGAATGACAATAACATGACACTTAAGAACGAATTTCAAAAACAAGTAAAGGATGAACGAGTTATCTAGAACGATAAACTAAACTAGAAAATATACAATGAATCTACGTTGTTACAATTGACGATCTGAAAGTACTAATAGAATAAACACGGGTAAAAAACAAGTTCTTAAGTAAACAGTATTGATTATTTTGTCTTGACGGGTGAGACGGACAACACCCAAGCAGTAATGAAGACGAAGGCGGATGAATTAAGTAGTTTTAATAATGAATATGCTGTCAGGTGAGGTTTTCCCTGGTGTGTGTGTGTGTGTCTTAAGATAACAGTATCGTGTTTACGTTATCGCTACTGAAACGTCACCTCAAGAGTAACAGGCAAGATATTAAATTCCCCCGTTGAAATCATATCCCAAAACATAAGGAAATGACTCAGTGTAACTTTGACCTTTGACCAAGTAGGACCTTCCACAGACCGAGTAATCTTAGAGTCTGTGACATTGAACCTCTTGTGACCTTGTAACCTAACCTAACCTTGTTGTTACGTACAGACGACAGGTCCTGGTCGGCTGTGCTAATAAAACGTAATTAGGACATACCGGGTGGGCACCGCTACCGCCCACTCTCACACCTGGCTTATTGGGTGCTCCAGCTGACTTCCACCCAGCCACCCTGCCTGCCTACCTGACTGTCACCCTGCCTACCTGTCAGTCATCTTGCCTATCTGTCACCCTGCCTGCCTGCTTGCCTGTCATCCTGCTGAAACTAGGAGAGAGAGAGAGAGAGAGAGAGAGAGAGAGAGAGAGAGAGAGAGAGAGAGAGAGAGAGAGAGAGAGACATACGCATCATCCCTACACTTGCCCTCCTCATTCCCTCTCATATCCTGCCTTTATACTGCTTCCCTTTTTAAGCCAGGTGGCCCAATGCACGTATCTATATGACTGTGACTCCTCTCCCCGTCTGTCTGTCTGTCTGTCTGTACGTTGTAATCATAGTGTGAGTGATGCAACATTCTGTCTAATAATTGAGATGGACAACACGGCTCAGCGTTTCAAAGCAAGAGGCAACATCAGTCAGTTGTATATTGCGTTAGTTTCAGTTGTTTACACGCATATACGAACACGCACACACACACACGCACACGGGGGAGAGGAGCACCAGTGAGGGAGGGAGGGACCACTTGTTGACACTATGAGGCAGCCACTTAAGTTGTTCTCTCTGTTGTTCGTCACGTGATGGCTGCTGTCTCTTATCTCCATGTTATCGTGTCGTGTGTTAATCCCTAAAGTCTCTCTCTCTCTCTCTCTTCTCTATCTATCGTTTTATTTCCACACACACAAACACACACATACACACACAAACACACACGTAGCTTTGGGGAAAAAATAACAAGATTCTCCCTACACACCCATTCAATTCCACTTAATATTTCCCCACCATAACTTTTCAATGGAACATAACAAAATTCCTGGAAATAAAACACTGTCAAATCTAATCTAAACGTAAGCTGACTTAACCCTTAACATAAACCAAACTAACCTAATCTACCTTACCTAACCCTTAACACAAACTAAATTAACCTAAACTAACCTAACCTAACCAAAGCTAATTTTAACCTAACCTAACTTTAACCAAACCAAACCTAACTAAAACAAATGGCTTTAGTAAAATAAATAAATAATTGAGTTTAGAGATATTCATTTGACTCCTAGTTTAACATTCACCTGACCTCACCTGACCTGACGTTTCAAATGTTTTACGCATCAAATTAAATTCTCTTATTTTTTTTGTATTTTTAGGTTTAATTTGATCTTTAAATGTATTGCCTTTTTCAAACCTCTCCTGTCTGATGTAAATGTCCTTATTATAATGAATTAGTCGAGTGATTAAGATATTTTAACAATTTATATTCGGACAAGTGTAAATGTAACCCACCTGTCGCGTCACACCTGTTAAATGTTTGGTCTCAGTTGTTTTACATTACATTAGCACCTGCGTCATGTCATACTGTCCACCTACTGTCATTGCCTTCACCAGTAGGTCTTGAAACTGGCCAGAGATAAGGGTAGCCATAGTATACTTTCAATCACTTTACAAAAAAAATGCCCCAATTTATCTGGCCCAAATTCTTCTGTTTACAGTAAGATGTTTTGATAAATTATTAACCCAATTCCTTCGTTTTTATCATTTCCATTATTTTTCTATCAGGTTAAATTCACTTATATTGATTGCTCACATCATCAAACGAAAAACTTATGCAGCGAGATAAAATTACTATACCAAATTATCCTCCGTGTGTATTCCAAACTATAAATTACCTGTACACTTATTATAAATCAACCACAGTCTTTCATATGCCCAGGTAGTTACCGTGGTTAACAGAGAGCCATCACCACCACCTTACGTATAAAAAAAAAAAACTCTCCCTAACTCGTTATACTTTTCAAATAACAAATTACCCGTCTGGTCGCTCCAAAATCCTACTCATTAACCACGGTAGTCACCCACGGATCTCTGGATACCATAAAGGCAAACACGGTTCACAGGGTCCGTGTGTGTGTAGCCCGGTTACTTCGTCCAAAACAATAAAGACACAATTGCCTGGCTTCCTGTCACGCGTGCGCATGCGTTGTGGAGGAGACTGGGTGAGTGCAGGTGTGGAGGGAGGGGGGTGAGGGGGTGAGGGAAGAACTGTTTGCACACATGCATTTCCGTAGGTACTGATTATGTGTGTATATATGCACGTATACATATATGCTCCTTGTATACATTTACAGTATATATCTGTGTTATGTATATATGCATGGATCGAAGTTTGTAAGTGATACAAGTAAATGAATGAATATAATCAAATACTGTGTGTATGACAATGATAGTAAACTAGCCTTTAAAGGGTGGGAAGATAGAATGGTGGAGGAGGGTGGCGAGCAGGGCCGTCTCTAGGAGGGTGCGGGGCCCGAGGCAACTCAGCCACTGCGGGGCCCCACCAACCCCATGGGACTGTCGCTATGGATGGTAAGGTCAGATTAACCAGTCAACAGGTAATGTGTCCGAGGTCACTGGGTCTGGTGCTGAGCCTCGGGCAGTCGCCCCTGTTCGCCCCCCCCTAAAGGACGGGCCTGATGGTGAGAGAGAGGATGGTGAGAGAGAGAGAGGATGGTGTGAGATAGAGAGAGAGAGGATGGTGTGAGAGAGAGAGAGGATGGTGAGAGAGAGAGAGAGAGAGCGAGAGAGAGGGATGGTGAAAGGAAGAGGATGGTGAGAGAGAGAGGAGAGGATGGTGTGTGAGAGAGAGAGGATGTGTGTGAGAGAGAGAGAGGTGGTACTGGTAGGGAAAAAGAAAGATAATGACAAGATGAGGGAAGCTAAATGTAATAGGAGTCATTCACACAGTGTGTATTCCACACCCACACAGCCTCACCCACACCACACAGCCTCATCCACACAGCCTCACCCCACACCCCCTACACACACACAACCCATCACCACACAGCCTCCCCCACCAGCCTCACCCCACCCCACAGCCTCACCCCACACCACACACAGCCTCATCCACCCCAACCTCCCACACAGCCTCACCCCCCAGCCTCCCCACACAGCCTCCACCCACACCACACAGCCTCATCCACACCCCACAACCTCATCCACACACAGCCTCACCCACACCCCACAGCCTCACCCCACACCACACAGCCCTCACCCACCACAACCTCATCCCACCCACAACCTCCCCACACCCCCAGCCTCACCCCACACCCCAGCCTCCCCACCCACACAGCCTCATCCACCCACAACCTCATCCACACACAACCTCACCCACCCCCAGCCTCACACCCCACAGCCTCATCCACCCCACAGCCTCATCCACCACACAGCCTCATCCACACCACACAGCCTCACCCACACCTGGCCTCACCACACCACCCACACCACACAACCTCATCCCACCCACAGCCTCACCCACCACCACCTCACCACACACACAACCTCATCCCAGCCTCATCCACCACACATTTATTCCAGATCAGCCAGAATCACCACTCACCGCCCAGTATACACTCACTGATGCATATGCTATCCCCCCCCACACCAATATCTATGTCAACACAAGCAGTCTCAAGGTATCAGTAAGCACATTATTCCATAGTTCTTATCTCTTATCAAGGAACTAATGCCTTCGAGAACAGGTATGGATATAGTTCAACTTTGTTCACCACTGTTCATGTCTAGACTAGGTTTGTTCTATGCTGGTGAGATACGTTTGAAGGTCTTATCACCGTGTTTCATCAAGACATCCCCCCCCCCTCCCGTGTGACTGGTTCACTTCTTAGAATCAAATAATCTTGTTGATCCTCTATTGAATTTCATAACTTGTTCCGTTTTTATAAGATAGGAATCATTACTACTCTTTCCAGATACAGTTTATACACAGGTTAGGTTAGGTTAGGTTAGGTTAGGTTAGGTTAGGTTAGGTTAGGTTAGGTTAGGCTGGGGATTTAAATAATTAATTAACATCAGGTAGAGTCTCACTTAACCTGATCATACGCACAGGTAAAATGAACCCCACTATACCTGTAATTAAGCCTTAGGTATTTTCTAGTTATCTATTAGTTACAGATGCGTCGTAAAAGGTAAAGTGCCATATGTGTTGATAAATAAACACACTCCTTCACTATTTTCCACACCAGACTAGTTAAAAGTTTGTCATTTAAACTCTGATCATTGTCTCATTATTTTGTATATTTTGTTTTTTACATTTCTGAGATATGGTAGATAAGATCGATTCTACCTGTTGTTTAATGCACTGTAGAAATAATGAATCACTGTTTTGTTGTATCATTTCGAGGAGAGAATCGTTTTTGTTCCTTATTTTCACTCATTTACGTCACAACACTTCATATTTATCGATCCATTTACATATGTTCACCGAGGGAAAGTAACGACATTGTTTCCAGGTAACTTAACATACTTCAGACTAGTTAAACAACACCTTTCGACGTTTATCTGTTTGGTATTTCCACTGAGGGGGGAGAGAGGGAGAGTGCCGGGGAGGGATGGAGGGAGCGTTAGGGACTGCCACATCACAACACGCAGGCACACACTACCACACTACCTCAAGCCGCTACTGCACACGAGCGAGCAGTGGTGAGTGCAGGCGGCTGGGCTAAGTAACGCTCAGCTGTGTCCCTCACCACTGTAGCCACACACCCTTCACCTTCATACCCCTCCAGCCACCAAACTAACTTGCACCTCCCATACCAACCAAGCCCCAACTCACAACCAAAATACAACCATTTCTTTTAGTCATTTTAATTCGTATTAATTCTCTCTTGTGGTGTGGTAAAATATTATAGATTTTTTCTTATTAATATTCATGATTAATTAAGTTGGATAAAATGTAAGTTTCCTTCGTCTTGGTAACACTGCATGGTGATAATGTGCCCCCCACCCTCTCCCCCAGTGTAAGTTGATTAGGGTAAAGACTGGGTGGAATTTGATGTAAAGCGTCTTACTATTACGTATGATAAGTTATTCTGAACTATTATTATTATTATTACTATTATTACTACTATTATTACTACTATTATTACTACTATTATTATTATTATTATTATTATTATTAATATTATTATTATCGTATATATTGAGACATACATACAGACACAAATACAAAAGGTACATTACATCAAACACTGCAGTCTCCAGTACACAACAACAACAACGCAATAAACACTAATGTCAGTTGTTTATACGCCTCAGTACCCGCTAAGACTACACCTCAGATTTCTGATATTAATTACTACCAATCAAGTGACTTTCCACCTGGACCGACGCGCCGCTATTGGTTAGTCTCGCAGGTGGGGCTTCCTGTCGTACCTGTGACGTAATTAGGTATATCTTCCCAGACTGGTCGACACGAATCCAGGTAAAAAAAGTCACAGGTAAAAAAGTCACAGGAAAAAAAGTCACAGGAAAAAAGTCACAGGAAAAAGTCACAGGAAAAAAGTCACAGGAAAAAAAGAAAAGTTAACTATCGAATTCTCACATTTTTTAAGGTTAGTATGTCAATCAGTTTCAGTAACCTAACCTAACCTAACCTAACCTAACCTTTATTACCGGCCACCATGAATTAATTGTGACTTTTTTTCCTGTGACTTTTTTTCCTGGCCAAAATTGTGACTTTTTTTCTGACTTTTTTTCCTGTGACATTATTACCGGCCACCGTCGAACACATGGGATCTCTTCCTTGATTGGTCGACACATGGGATCTCCTCCTTGATTGGTCGACACATGGGATCTCCTCCTTGATTGGTCGACACATGGGATCTCCTCCTTGATTGGTCGACACATGGGATCTCCTCCTTGATTGGTCGACACATGGGATCTCCTCCTTGATTGGTCGACACATGGGATCTCCTCCTTGATTGGTCGACACATGGGATCTCCTCCTTGATTGGTCGACACATGGGATGATTGATTAAAGTAGGGAATATAAGAAGTGAAGAGTTTTTCTGCTTCCGGTGTGAGTGTGTAACGGGATATGAATGGTGATAGTGTATTCAGGTGGTGAATAGATGGGATGGGTAAAGGGAGGATGGGAGAGGACGGGGGGAAGAGGATGGATGAGTGAGGGAGGATGGGTGAGTGAGGGAGGATGGATGAGTGAGGGAGAGGGCGGATGAGGCAGAATAGCGTGAGAAAGAATTCATGAGTGACAATTCGGTGCCTAACTATAGAATGGCCCCTCGTTCATCACCCTCACCCTCATTACTAACCCATTTACTCATTTCCTCATTATTTTTAACACTTGAGATTTCCTATGATTATTATCTCCTTCTGTCCCCACGCGTTTATCAGTTTTTTCCTTATTCTTCTTCATTTCAAGTTGGATTCATACTTTTTCTCACAGAATACTCACATACCCACAGTACTCAAATAATAATCACTCACACTCATAACTCACAGAATACTCACATACACTCACTAGTCACAAGATACTCATAAACCCTCATTACTCACAGACACTCATGGAATACCACTCATTACTCATGATCATAAAATTTCAGTCCATGAGGTCCCATTATTGCCACACCACTTACTCAATCATCAGTACTACGAAACCTTGAATTGGCAACAGTGAGGTGGCTAACTCCCCCCCCCCCTTATCTTCCTCTTCTCCTCCCTCCTTTCCTTTGCTCCTCTCTTTCCCACCATCTCCCTTCTACCTCTCTCTCCCTCCCTCGCCTCACCTGCCACCACCACCTGGTCCCACGAACACCTGTGTAATAGAGAGAGAGAGAGAGAGAGGTTGCTTATTTGCATCTCTCTCTCTCTCTCTCTCTCTCTCTCTCTATTTATAACTTCCTGCATATCTATTTGTACTCGGTGTTGGCCACACAAGTTCTCGAAGGCGAAAAGGAGATTTATTCAATAAGGAAAATTAGCAAAACTTAGGATTGTCGACTGGTAATTGTGGCAACGCTGAATTTTCGTAAGCGGCTCCTGGCTGATAACACCACTCTGGTAACACTGATAAGATAGAGATAGGGTGGGGGGAGGAGTTAAGAGGAGTGTGGGGGGGGGGGAGAGGAGGAGGTGTGTGTGGGGGGGGAGAGGAGGAGTGTGTGTGTGGGGGTGGGGGGTGTGTGTGTGGGGGTGGGGGAGGAGGGGGAGGAGGTGTGTGTGGGGGGTGGGGGAGAGGAGGAGGAGGGTGTGTGTGGGGGGGAGAGGGAGGAGGAGTGAGGTGTGTGGGGGGTGGGGAGGGAGGAGGAGTGTGTGTGGGGGGGGGGAGGGAGGAGGAGGTGGTGGGGGGTGGGGGAGGAGGAGGAGGTGTGTGTGTGGGGGGGTGGGGGGGAGAGGAGGAGGAGGAGTGTGTGTGGGGGGGGGGAGAGGAGGGAGGAGGAGTGTGTGTGTGGGGGTGAGGGAGAGGAGGAGGAGTGGTGTGTGTGGGGGTGGGGGGGAGGGGGAGGAGGGAGGAGGGTGTGGTGGGGGGGTGGAGAGGGAGGAGTGTGTGTGGGTGGGGAGGAGGAGGAGTGTGTGTGGGGGGGGAGGAGGATGAGGGAGTGTGTGTGGGGGTGTGGGGGGTGGGGAGGGGTGGGGGGTGGGGAGAGGAGGAGGGTGTGTGTGGGGTGGTGGGGAGAGGAGGAGGAGGAGGTGTGTGTGTGGGGGTGGGGGAGAGGAGGAGGAGGAGTGTGTGGGGGGTGGAGGAGGAGTGTGTGTGTGTGTGGGGGGGGGGAGAGGAGGAGGGGTGTGTGTGTGTGGGGGTGTGTGTGGAGGGAAATAGACTGTGGGGGGAGGAGGACTGTGTGGGGGAATGTGTGGGGGAGGAGGGTGTGTGTGTGGGGGGTGGGGAGGAGGTGTGTGTGTGGGGGGTGGGGGAGAGTGTGTGTGGGGGTGGGGAGGAGGAGAGGGTGTGTGGGGTGGGGAGGAGAGGAGGAGTGTGTGTGTGTGGGGGTGTGTGTGGAGGGCTGTGTAGGGGGAGGACTGTGTCGTGGGAATGTGTGGGGAGGTGTGTGTGGGGGGGTGGGGGAGAGGAGGAGGAGGTGTGTGTGGGTGGGGTGGGGGAGGAGGGTGTGTGGGGGGGTGGGGGAGGAGGACTGTGTAGTGGGAATGTGTGGGGAAGGAGAGTGTGTGCGTGGAGAGATAGTGTGTCACCGTATACAGTAAGTTATATTGTAAGAGGAAGTGGAGTATTTATAAACACACTACACTGAAAGACATTTTTGTCAGCAGTACTGCTGATGGTGCGAGCCCGGGTCTGACCACAGCAAGTTTCTCAATGTACAATACAACACTGGCGACAGGTGTACTCTGACCTAGCACATACCTGAGAGGGGAGAACACAGGCACTACATCTAGTGCGGGAGGGGCGGCGGCAGCGTCTTTCCGGCTCTGGGGCTAACTCTGGGTTAACTCGAAAGTGTTGATACTTTCTCGTGTGGTGCTCCTCCAAGTTTTGCGGTGTGGAGTAACCGTCTCCCAGGTGAGGGGGTCGATTTGTTACTTTTTCAGGTCTGACTTAAGACGATCCTTATACATTTTCCGCTGCCTGCCAGCGTTACACTTACCATTCGTTAGGGGACTGTAAAGTAGCTGCTTTGGCAGTCTACTATCGTCCATGCGGGTAACATGGCCAGTCCAGCATAGTTGTTCATGGATAATGGTAGCCTCGATGCTCCTACAGTTGGTGTCAGCAAGAATACTGTCATTTGTTCTCCTGTCTTCCCAGCGAACTCGGAGGATGGAACGTAGACTAAGTTGGTGAAAGTGGTCAAGTGCCTTGAGGTGCCTCCTGTATGTGACCCATGTCTCACTACCATACAACAGGGTAAGGCCGTAGCAATGAGGTGAGGCCGTAGCAGTTAGGTAAGGCCGTAGCAGTGAGGTAAGGCCGTAGCAGTGAGGTGAGGCCGTAGCAGTGAGGTGAGGTCGTAGCAGTGAGGTAAGGTCGTAGCAGTGAGGTAAGGTGAGCAGTAGAGCCAGTGAGAGGTCATAGCAGTGAGGTAAGAGGCAGTGAGGTGGAGTCATAGCAGTGAGGTAGGCTGTAGCAGTGAGTGAATTGGTCGCAGCAGTGAGGTGAATACAGTGAGTGAAGTGGTGGGTAGGTCACAGACAGTGAGGCAGGTCGTGAGGAGGTAAAGTGAGTGAGAGTGGAGTCGTAGAGTGAGGGAAGGTCGTAGCAGTGAGGTGGAGTCGTAGCAGTGAGGTGAGGTCAGCAGTGAGGTAGGTCACAGCAGTGAGGCAGGAGCCATGGCAGTGAGGGTAGCA